CTCTCTCTCTCTCTCTCTCTCTCTCTCTCTCTCTCTCTCTCTCTCTCTCTCTCTCTCTCTCTCTCTCTCTCTCTCTCTCTCTCGCTCTCTCTCTCTCTCTCTCTCTCTCTCTCTCTCGCTCTCTCTCTCTCTCTCTCTCTCTCTCTCTCTCTCTCTCTCTCTCTCTCTCTCTCTCTCTCTCTCTCTCTCTCTCTCTCTCTCTCTCTCTCTCTCTCTCTCTCTCTCTCTCTCTCTCTCGCGCGCGCGCGCTTCCGTCTCACTCCCCTCAACACCTCAACTCTCGGCCACATTTGTTTCTGTCTCAATGAGGTTAGAGCATGCCTCCGACCCCTCGTCGAGACATCAAGAGTCTTATTGCGGTGGCTTACATAGATCGTTGCGGTTGCTGCGTGGAATCCCTCACGACCTGGTAGTTTTGATGCCACAAGGAACGTGGTCCTCGGTTTCATCACAAAAAGGAGGTTACAGGGTTGTTGTGGAAGGGGCGGGGGGAGTTGGTGGAGACTGGGTTCGGATTTCTTCGTAACTTGAGCTGTAGAGCATCCCTCGCGGAGGACCTTGTAATGGAAGGGACGGGGTCGGGTGCCGACCGACCCAACCCGCAGAGGGGTTGCTCCGGGTTTCTGACCAATCAGATTTCAGTGGCAACAAAGTATTGGGCCAAGATGTACGAGGAATCTGGTAGCACTTCAGAACAAACAAAGAAATCTGAATGCATAACAAACTGGTTGCTGCATGAAAAAAATGTTACACGAAAAATTATTGTTCATCGTCAGAATACATCCCGTCCGTCCGCACCAACTCACCACCTCCACGTTCATCCCCGTACGTTTCGGTGTTCCTTCATCGAGTACACACTTTGTCCAATCGCTTGTCCAACCGCGACTGACTAATGATATACCTTCCACCACACACAAACAAGAAAAATAGAAGTACCACAATAAAAAGAAAAAAACATGCGGCGTACTCGCGAGTACCGTACCATACCAGTACAGCGTTCCATACCATACCGCCATCATCCCAAAAATAAAGCACATCACACCCTACACACCTACAGAATTTCCCAAACGGCTGGAACACAATGAACTCGTAAGCCAGTCGAGAAAGGCAAGGCACATGCTTCCTCATCCCACCCAATTGTTCCGGGGTAACCACATTTGTCAGCATCTTCCATTCCGAGCAAGTGGAAACACGCACAAGAACGCCACAACGAACGGGCGGCGCTCGCAAGAACAAAGGCAAGAGCAAACTAAAAACAAGAAAAAAATTGCGAAAGATGTTGAACAGCGGGGAGACTATCTCATAACATTCAACCAACACGCACACAGGAGCACGTCTGACAGAGGATAGAGCCGTCGACAAAGTGCCGTTGACGCTACTTTTCCCCCCTCCTCGTCGCAACGCGCTCGTAAGTACTTCGTGATACATACCACAGACGACGACAAGCGACCATACGAAGGCGCGCGCTACAGTGGCGCGAAAACCATGTCAAGGTCCCATCGCAACTTCGTCCGTCTCCTCTCCGTTCGATTTGAACTATTCTCGTGCTCGAGATGCAGGCAGCGTGTGGCTGTTCGCCGAGAGAGAGAGAGAGAGAAAGAGAGAGCAATCTATCCGACATGACACGTACGCCGCCACATCTTTCCCTCCTTCCCTCTCTCGTGTATCGGGAACGAACGTACATGGGCATCCTCAAGGCGAACCAACCAACACAACCACGCCCCACGACTATCGTCCGACCCCCCCCCCCCCCTCTGGCGTTCTGCGGAGGGCAGAAACGTTCACAGCCAACCACTCTTATACGTGATATCAAACTGTCACCTTCAATATAAAGAAGAGTAGCAGAAACCTCCACATCCCCCCAACGGCAGTAAGAACACCCATCAAAAACCTACCCGACTATCTAGTGTCCACAGAGCAACAGCGAAAAACCACGAAGACTTCCAACACGCCCCCTTCGAGTATCTACTGCTGTGGCCTTACCTCCAACGGGGAGTCTGTATGTATATCTTCTAAAAAAACCAAAGGGCCACAACGAGCCATATGTAAAAAGCCCCCAACAACAGCAAAACGAATCTGCAACAAAAACAACGCCAAGAAAGGACACGAGCCCACGGACGCGACCCACCGATCCAGCTATCATGAATGGCGGAGAACTTCTGCTGCGATGTAGTATCCTTTTCCCATCTCCGTGCACCGACCCAACCACCCGTTGGCCTCGACAAAACGAAGTTTTTCCTTCCCGCCAAACGCCAACCAACCAATCCTACCCCCGTTACTGTAGCCTTACAAATGATAATTCTGGACGAAAGAAAAAATGCCCCCTCCTAAGCACAAGATACCGAGCACCCTGTGCGGGATGTAGCGCACCCCCCATGCGACTCGCCGAATACCTCACGGCGCTTCGCGCTTGGTAATTGAGAGCGGGTCCGGTGAGAACCCGGCGTGCTCCGTCCCGGTTTTGTAGGGATGAGAGCTCAATGGTCTAACGACTACGGCATGTACTGCCATGAGTACCCCTCCACCCTCCCCCCCCACCACGCGCTGGAGATTCTACTCTTTTGATGTGTCCCCCGGGGTCACGGCCGATCCACTGCAAATGGTCCGCCGGACATCTGCTCGGTCGCACGACAAGCTTTAACATAAATCAATCAACCACGCAGTTCACCTCCACACCACCCACAGTACTCAATAATTCATGCAGAACATATGGATCATGCACACAGATCACACCACAGGCACGCAACGACTTTCGTCGTCAAAGGTGTACCAGCAATTACGGGGGAGAGGCGTGTTTCAGTCCCCCCCCCTAACGACGTCCTTGATCGTGTTGAAACATCCGTTTTTCTTCAACCATCGCCGCCAGTAACCGGACACACAAGCACACAAGCACAACAGAAAAAAAGGCGACAAAACAAAGACGACGTAGATTCAAAAAAAGGTGGCGCAGCAGAACAGAAAACAAACACCCGTCACAGTTAGGCACGGCACGCCGGATTCGGCCGCAGGAGCAGGCTTGGACAGAGGCGTCGGCTTGAAGGCGAGACTCTCGTAGATCCCGCACCACAAGCAAGGCGGCTGAACGAGCTGCTGCTGCTGCTGTAGGTCTGGGTGTACCAAGAAGCAGAGCGCCCGGGGGGTCGTCGGGCAGCAAGTAATAATCACCACCCACCAAAGTCGTGCCGTTACCCACCGCACCAGCAAGAAAAAGTCGAAACACCTCCCATTCTACGCTGTTATGGTGTGGGTACAGGAATATCCCCCACCCATTCTTCCATCAGAAACGACAATCATCGCCCATCCTCACGTGAAAACCAGCGAGCTATTTTTGCTACGACATGCGTGGAGTCAACTGCTGCTGCTGCCCGCCCTTGTAAAAAAAAGGAAGGTAAAAGCGCATCGTTCTCGGGAACAAAAACACCCACAACCACACACAGCCACTTCGAAGAGCACTGCTGTTCCAACAATAAGTTCACGGGCGAACGAACGCGCACGAGTATCGCCAATCGTCCAGTAAATGGAATCAATGAAAATAGGCATCCACAAGTGCATCCACCCCCCGACGGCGCGGTGCTGTAACGCCCAAACTAAAGACGAGGTATTGTACGACATCGACGACGAAGGAGCACAACAGCAGTAGCAGTCGCTCTGCGCTTGCAGTCGCTCTGCGCTTGCAGTCGCTCTGCGCTTTTCCCTAGCACTTCGCCCGCGCCCCTCTTCCAAGGACGAACGGTGACTGCCTTGCCTGACTTAACCGCGAGAGTAAACCAAACCACACCCCACAAAAAAACAAGAGAAAAAAAGAACACAATCACAAAAAAAAAATATATATATATAAACGCCACGAAGCGAAAGACCGTCCGGCCCGTGGGGAACCCACCATCAACCTCTCGCTATCTCGTATCTAGCTGTAGTTGTTGCTGCTGTACACGTGACTGTACCGTCTCGCCGCAACACCGAAACGAAACGAGTTCCGATGCTCCCGCCGCACCCCTTCCCCGCGACTCGATCAACGTTCCTGTTGCCCTCGCTGCTGGCGCCCAAGCCACTCACTGCCTGAGCCTAGGCGGCGCCTCCGTGCAGCGGGGCGGCAACGTTACAACGTTCCTCCCATTCCAAGAACGGAAATTGGATCCACCGACGGAAGCGACAAGCATGGCATGACCCCTATCACCTCGCGCGGTAGGAGGTTCCCCCGCCGCCGCCGCTAGACCTCGTCACGCACCGCTCCACCCCCGTGCACGAACCCGGGGACGCGGCGGCCGCGGCATCATCCCCTGGCGTCGAGCACGCCGCCACCGACGGCGTCTGGCGGCAGTTGATCCCCTTCGCGGGGCTGATCGACAGTAGCGACTTCGTCCAACCGTCATCCTTGTCCTCTTTGCCCGACGACGACGACGACGACGACGCGCCATCAGCAGCAGCAGCAGCAGCAGCAGCGCGTGCCGCAAGTACGTCGGCCGGCGGCTTGCCCGGCGCCGACTTGCGCCGCGCGCGGCTCATCCTCGTCCCTCGCGACGGGTCGTCCTTCGAGTAGGGCTCCGTGAACGACTTTCGGCGCGGCATCGACGACGACGACGACGACGCCGCTGCCGCCGCCGTTGCCGCCGCCGTCGCCGCCGCTACGCCTACCGAGGACGGCAACGACTCCGACGACACCGTGGAAGGCATGCGGTGGTGGTGGTGGCGGCGGTGGGCGCTGGTCTGGCCCGCTCCCGCCTTGAGCTTCTTGCCACGCTGTAGGTCGCTGAGCCCATCCCCTTCGGCTTCGTTGTCGTCGTCCAGCCAGCCGGACACGTCTTCGCCAACGCCGTTGGGCGCCTGGGCGAACGCCTGCCGCCGCCCCCGCACCCACGCTCGGCGACCGCCCACGGTAGTCGAAGCAGAAGCAGCGGTCGTGGCGCCTCCTCCGGCCTCCTTCTTCCTGCTGCTCTCCGGGGAGAGGTCGGCACCGCTGATGCCGCCGCCGCCGCCGCCGCCGCCGCCGTTGGATGGCGACGACTCCCGCTGGTGCTGGTGCTGGTGCTGCTTCGGTGCCGGAGAGGTGGCCGCCGCTGCCGGCGGCGGAGACGGCACGAGAGACCGGCGGTGGGCGATGACGCGCCCGATCACGCGGCGCACCTGCTGACGCTGCGCCTCCGTCTGCGGGGACCCCACGCTTATCGGGATGCGCCGGACGTCGTGCACGTGCTGGCAACGCTCCATGGCCTCGTCAGCGCTGAGGCCGTACATGAGGTGCAGCATGATGCACACCACGGTGCCCGTGCGGCCGTGCCCTCCCCAGCAGTGCAGGTACATCACCTCGCCGCGGGCAAGCCGGCCGGCCAGCTGTGCGGCGAGTTGGAGCACCTTTTTTCGTGTGGCATAAATCGGGAAGAGCATTGTTGCGGGAGGGGGGGGGGGATACGGACGGTGTCAACGTGGGCATCAAAGGCAAGTCAAAGGTGACAAAAATGGCGGGGCAGACGGAGATGGGGTGTTCCAAGTGTCCGGTGTCGCGCAAGGTCTAAGTTCATACGCTGCGAATGCGTGAAAAGCAAGAGCGATGGAACGTGGGGTGCATTACACCCTTGCGCGCTTTCATGATACCCTGCAGACGGGAGGAGCACCCTCAGATGCCCTAAATCGGCTCGAAGTCGTGCCGCATGGTGCCAACGGGTATGGCCATCCCCGCCGAGGTAACGTTGTCGTGCAACTAACGTCACCGCGCACCCGCCTGCTGCTGCTGTGTGCCACGAAGAACAAAAAAAAAAGAGAAAGCATCCTTCGCGAAGCCAAACACCCTGCCCGCTTGATCGTGTTCGGTAACGAGTGACGAGATGTTGTTCTTCTTCGCGACGAAACTGCCCAATGAGCTACTGCACGTGGTACTCAGAAGTGGCACCAGCAACAAACCGCGTGAATCCTGGGGTGTGAAACACCCAACCACAAACATGGGTAGTATACGTTCGCGTTGCTTGCCAACAAAGAGCGGGAGCTATCTTGCACTGGAAGCCCCGCCCCCCGCTTGCTGGGCGCAAATGCATAGATGTGATGGGGTGTTTCTTTTTTTTTATTAACGGGTCTTCAACAGTAGCCGACCGACAGCAGCCCGTGGGAAAAAGGGGGCAGAAAAAAGTGTGCTACTGCTGTATACAAATAAAATGTAAATACGCGTTGTTCGCTTGTAGTATCTAGCTTCAGATAAGAGAAGCGACAAGGACTCACACACACGCGCTACCCCCGCAGCAGCAAGCCTGCAAAGTCCCGTTATACTTGTGTTGTGTCAAGTCGCGAACAAGACAAGCAGTTCCATGGCGGTTTTAGATACTGGTACACCCCTCTGAGCGGTTGGTTGGGCTTCACCGGGGGGGGGGGGGGGGGAACGAGAACCCCCCATCAGTCGCGGCAGCAGGCCAGAGAGATAACCGGCCACACACAGCAGCAGTACTGAACACATATGGAGGAGCAATCACTCTGTGTTGGAAGGTTATTCCGCGCCGCGCACAGCAGCGAGCCTTTTGACTACATACAGATGCGTGCGTCATAGGCATGATGCCTCACACGCGCGGCGTTCCGAAACAAGTAGATTCGCACACACGGCAATGGTTGCTTGCACGCCGTGTTGCCACGTGATACATGAGCGAACCCTTGACTGCAATCCGCACCACAAATGCGGCGTTTCGAAGAAACACGCGCATCATCAAGACGCACGCAATGGTTGCACGTGTGCGTACCTGTAACGCTGGACTCCGACGTAAGAATATGGGAAAAAATGAAAAAATAAAAAACAAATAAACATGAATGCTATACTGCAGTGCTCCGGAGAATGCATACAATACAAGCATCCCACGAGCAATGGAGTGCAAAAAAAAATACTTGTCAAAAGTCTAATATATGCTGCATTCACAAACAAAGCATACCTTGGTATCGTCGGCGACGTTGCAGTCGACGATCGGGAAGTGCACGAAGTCGGTCTCCTCCGGCGCGCAGATGGCGGGCACGGACCTCGGGTCTGCCCTCCTGAGCTCCCCGAGCTTCGCCAGCAGCTGCACCACGTCTTGGAAGTACGGCCTGAGCGCGTCGCCCGACCTCCACATCTCCTCCGTCACGCCCTCCGCCTGGTACTCCTGCTGCAGGCACACGAAGGTCGAGACTCCCTGCAGCAGGATGGTGCAGAGGAGGTGGGCGTGGTGGCTGTCGTTCATGGACGCCGGGTACGCGCCCACGAGCAGACGCCCCGGGAGCACCCAGTTCGACTCCATGGTGGGACCGAGGTACCGCCCGGCCTTGTCGATGCTGGACAGCGCCTCCAGGCCGGGGAAGGAGCTCGCCCTTCGCAGCGCCTGTGTTGTTGCGGGTGGGAAGAACGGGAGAAGAAGTGGTGGGTGTGCATGTGTGCATGAGTGGCAACAACTGTTACCGGCGAGGGGGCATGGGCATGCATGCCCCCCCCCCCCCTTCCCTTTCGAGGCCAGTCAGAATTCGGAGCGGTTGGGTAAACATGTCTGTACTGCTTAAATGAACAGGAGTATTACTGCTACATAGAATAGGTCCATTTTATCAAAAGGTCATGTACACAGAAGTACAAGAAATGAAGAATGTCCTTCCATTTTTTGCAGCACGCAAGACAAAACCGCAAACCGAAGCGCCGACCGGGAGAGAGAGAGAGAGGGCAGCGGCCTGCTGTCCAGTAGCGGATTGGTACATACGCTTGGATGTTCCACCGACAGGTGCACCCACAAGCCTAACGGCTGCGGAAATAGAGGAGAAGAGGGCGGTCCTGGGTGTGTGCGGGGAAAAAGAAGAAAAAAAGCGCCAACGCACACCCTCACCTCTACCTCCGCCAGCAAAAGTTCAACGGCTGCGACCAGCCCCTCGTCGACTTCTTCCTCCTCTTGCTCCTCCTCTACGTCGGACTGGTCCTCCTCCTCTTCCTCGTCATCGGTCGAGGGAGGACCTATCTCGGGCGCAGCTAGCGGTCTCGTCATGATGTTGGCTGCTGCTGCTGCTGCTGCTGCCTCTGCGTCTACTGCTGCCGTCCCGCCGCTCATTCCTGATGGTGCTGCCTGTGGTGCTGACTTTGGCAACTAACGCACACACACGCAGAGAGAGGGGAGGAAATTAATCATACACGAATGAGGGACCGACCGACGAGATATTTAAAGGGCGCGACTTCCTCAATCGGCTGAAAGTGTCCTAGGCACGACGAGGATCCTCTAGCGCGCCGAGATGCAACGAGGATCCGGCGCAAACGCAGCAAACGCCGGCGCCGCCAAAAAAAAAATCGCGCCAAAGGAACGAATCCGGGAAACGAGGAATAGAGCTGCTACAGCAGGCGCGGCGGTATTATAGCGCCGCGCCGCATCCTCTCCATGTGCGGACACAACACACAGAGGCGGCTGCTGCTGTCGAGCGCCAATAGAAAGTCTCACCATCGCGCGGTGCTCCACAGTCACGGAGAGGTAGGGCGGCCTGTTAAATTGTCCTGTAGCTGCAGCTGCTGCGGCACGTGGCTCGTGGTGGTGCGGTCGTGCCCAAAATTACTGTTCACAGCAGGGCGGGGGCGAAGAGGGTAAAAAGAGAAAAGAAGGGGGTCCGCAGAATACGCAAAGCGGCGAAGCACGGTAGGGCGAAGGGCATGGGGGCATTCCGAACCTTCTTGGCGCACTTGCGGAACCAACAGCGTTTCTTTCATCGCCACGGGGCATTGCGGCGCAGGGCGCTCCTGGACGCCACAACGAGTGCGCCTGTTCGTGCTCTACGCGTACGCCACATTGGCAAGGCTGTTTCACTCCCCAAGGCTGACTCTCACCACCCGTGGTGCGGGGTGCGTGTGAGTGCGTGGAGAGGACCGATTGGCCTATTTCCAAACTTTTAGTGTTCCGGTACACACCGACATTTATTAGTCAATTTCATTACGTATACTTCGCTTTACAAACGAGGGGTAGGCAACCTGTAGCAGGCGACAGGAGCAGAGGGTGCTACCGCTGCGGGGGGGTGGGCAAAAGGTGCGTTTCGCCGAGGACATTTTTTGCACACGTTGGATGTTGTCTAGCTTGGAATACCATACGCTCAGCCATGCTGTTCTGCCCGTGTACGTGCAGCAGACGCTCCTCCACGCAGCGGTGCAGCGGTACAGTAAGTAGTAGGAACACGGCGAATACTGAATTTTTGAACATGCAGCAATGTCATGCGTCCATTGATGTGCCCGACTGACTGCCCCCCGTATACTTTCATACAGCCAGCAGTTGCGTGGCCACGGGTCATGAGAGAGAGGTTACAGGAACATCCAGTGGCGTTCTAGAGTGTCACACTGCTTGTAACATGTGTCCTGCTGAGTTCAACCTGTGAAGGTTCGAACATCCAGGGGGTGCGAGCACGTCCAACATCGACGCCGCCAAATAGCTCTATGGTTGCAACACCGCACCGCGACCGCCTGAGCTCCCTCTCTCTCTTGGGGGGGGGGCGTACTTATGTTTTGCATGCCTTAGGCTTAAGACCATCTGTTTTATTATCTTGGGGACTAACCGTGGTACTGCTGCACAACAAGTTCGAAGAGCATGTATTTATTTATTTTTTGTAACCACAACCACAACAGTCGGGGAAACTTTACGAAAATGCAAGGGATATTGGCCCAAAAAGCGTTCGATTTTGTCTTTCTCCCGCAAACCGTTGTTCCAAGAATAAGAATACTGCTCGAATGTGCGTACTTGCACCCTTACTTGGTGTCTTGCACCCCCAACCTTTCTCCAAGCAAATCACCTATGCACATGCCCTTGCTGGGTTGCCTTCGTATCGTGGTGCAAGCGGTGTTGGTATGGGCAAAGGAGGCAGCGGCAAGGCGCCCCTTCTTCTTGCGCGAAAGAGGCGTTTCGTTTCGCCCGCAAGAACATTTCGAGTACCTGCACCCCGAGCGCCCCCCCACCTCCGCTCCCGTTGTCTCTGTGTTTGTGCCTCTCTCTGTCTCTCTCTCGGTCTCGCTGTCTCATCATCCCACCACCATGTACGTTCAATCTCTCTCACTCACTCTCTCTCTCTCTCTCTCTCTCTCTCTCTCTCTCTCTCTCTCTCTCTCTCTACATCCCACCACATGTACACTCATCTCGCGACCCTCCCCTCCCCGCCCGTCGGCACCATGCCAACGACCAAACCTTGCCCGAACACAACGTTAACATGCACCAGATAGGCAGCGACCCCCGCCGCTATGACGCCGCCGCAGGAACCAGACCGTCTGGACAAGCCCTGCGGACATCAGAACCAGGGTCAGCAACACAACCGGCACCAGGCCAAGACTGGCCGTCACAGAAGTACACAACAGCACCAGCAACACCAGCAACAGCAACAGCAACACCAGCAACAGCAACAGCAACAACAGGGGCAGGAACCACTTTCGGGCGCGTCTCCGGTGCTAGTCTCTCGGCGGCTGCTTTCCCCCGAGGACGGAGAGCCGATGCTCTCTCTCCCCCTGGGGCGCCGCCGGCCTGGCGATAACGCCTCATCCGACGAATCCTCCCGGGATCACCGCCGCGGCGACCACCACCGCCTGCGATCACAGCAGCTGCAGGCGTGGCTGCTGCAGCGGGAGGAGGAGGAGGAGGAGGAGTCGCTGCCCCAGCCGCACGCCAACCAAACCAGCTACTACTCGAAGGAGATGGGGAGGAGAAGAAGAAGGCAGCTCCTCCCTGGCACGGCGCGATTCCCCCTGAGGTGGAGCGAGGGGACCCACTTCGTCTACGCCCACGTCGGCACGCCCCCTCAGAGGGTCAGCCTCATCGTGGACACCGGGAGCTTCACGCTGGCCTTCCCCTGCGTCGGGTGTGACAAGTGCCGCCCGAGGTCGCGGACGCCGTTCTGGGACCCCGGGGCGTCGGCGACGGCCGCGGAGCTGAGCTGCGACGAGTGCCACGGGGATTACACGTGAGAGCTGGTTTTGGGAGATTGTTGTTGTTGTTGTTGTCGTTGTTGTTGTCGTTGTTGCCACGGCGGTTACAAGTGAGCTGTTTGGGTTTTCTCCCGGTTGCTGTTGTTGGCGCTCTTGTGGCTCTTGCTATTCTGCCGCGCCTGCGTATTGATATTGTTGTTGTTGCCGTTGCTGCTTTGCTCTTGCTCTTGCTGCTGCTGCTGCTGTTTTTGTTTTGTTGTTGCTGTCGTCGTTGTTGATGATGATGATGATGACGTCGCCCCTACCGCGCGTCTCCAGCCTCGAACCCGAGTCGACGTGCGTCTCAACTCTTTCCAACACATGCATAACCTCGTTGCTGTCGGTGCCGCGCGCGGCTACCGCCTCCCTGGCTCACTCACCCCGGCTGAGAGATCTCGCACGTATTTTCGGCTAAGGGTGCTTGGACCTTCCCCTTGACCGTTCCCGAAACAGGTGTTCCGAGTTCGAGCCAAAATGTACGTACAGCCATTCCTACAGGGAGGGGAGGGGGTGGACGGCAATTCAGGTGAGAGGGGGGGGGGGGGGAGGGGGGTGCAGCAGAATGCAAGATGGGAATGTGGCCGTTGAGAACACATTCCGAGGTGGAGAACTGACGTTTCTCCCGCCGTGTTTGTTCT